ATGTATGGATGGATGGATGGATGTATGGATGTATGGATGGATGGATGGATGGATGGATGGATGGATGGATGGATGGATGGATGGATGGATGGATGGATGTCCGAATATAAACTCCACTTGTTTTGGTATTATTTTAATGATGTCATTAATGGCCAAAGATTTTTTGAGATACAAAATAGTTTCGTGCACATTTTTTTCTAATGATTTTCTAAATAATCTTCAACACAAAAATATTTTGTTTTGAAGGAATAAAAAGGGCATTAATGCTTTGCTAATTTTAATGTATTTGACAGTTTTATGTTTGTCACATGGGCGTGGTTAGAGGTGGGCGTGGCTGGTTACAGACCCTCCTACTTTGTGCTAATCCAATTAAATAGTCTACATTTTGTGTTTATATTTTTTAAATTTTCAGCCTTTTTTTTGGCAAGCAAACATAAAAATAAATTAAAAACACTTCAAGGCTACCATCCCCCACTACTGTCCATACACACATATGTAATTTTATCTTTTGTTCTGATCAATATAGTTCTTTAAAAAGTGGTAGCCAAAGCCAAACACTTATTTATTTCATATTTATTTTGTTTTTTACATTAATCTGACTCACTAATAAGAAGTAACAAGCATTAGCTTGTTTTGGTTGAACGTACACGGATTATCCTGATTCTTTAAATGCACAGTTTATTTCACAGGTGGGCTTTCATCACATTTGTGCTGCTGGCTCCTTTTATTTGACAAAGTGTGTAAAGATCCCACAAAACAAATAAAATGTACATACAGTACACACCAAACACTGTAGGGTACACGCTGACGTGCATGTATAATTGCAATCTTGAAAAAGGGTAGAAGAAGCATTTTTGATGACAGCTATGATTCACAGGACGGCATCAAATGACTTACAGTCCCAGCATGACTCACCAGCAGACACATTAATAATTCTGCAGCTTTCGCTTTACATCAAAGCATTTAATCAGAATAAAGGAAGAGAAGAGTAAAGAGCAGACTGAGCACACATCACTGCAACAGACTCCAAATGCAGTCATCCACAAAACAGCTCTCCTGCTTCCAATCCCAACGTCCATGGATAAAAACTGTCTTTGATGCACAGACGGATGGAGCCTTCATTTGAGCTTAACAAACTGTGTGGTTCTGGAGACAGACCCAGCTTCAAGATTTCACAATGGCTCTCACACTAGGCATACAAGCCAAAGGTCCTGCCCTGTCCTTTTCAATCAAAATCAACTGTGAATATAAAAAAATGGATAAAAAAAGTTGAAGAATGAAAGTCAAATAACTACAAGAACAAAGAGCAAACTAACAGAGTGTCAGGATGGTCCAGAGCCCAAATCATTTCTCGGTGCTGCACCAGGCTGGACGAATATTTTTACAGAAAATTAATAAATGATGAGAGAAGGCGGCGCTCAAACGTTCTTGCTTCTTTCTACATTCCAACACAGCATAACGTATATTCAGTTTATTTCTTTCCTTTGTTTCTTTATGTTATGTATTCTCATTTCCACGGCTCGTTGTCTTACTAAAAGATAGTTGTTGTAGGAAAACTGTCAATAATGTTGGATAAAATGTGGTTGTAGCATGTATAGTATTCCAATAATGTTGTTTGTCCATCTTAGTAAGAACATACAACTTTAACAGCTGTGCAATGATACATTATTTCACATCAAAACTAGATTTGCTCAGGTTTTGTGATATTAGGCCACAGTATTCTCAACTGGCTGCACAGCACTAAAATGTTCCAGTGACAATAGTTTATGAACTTATCTTTGATGAGTATTAATATTAACTGAGTGGGAAAACTGTGGTACATTCTCACATTTTCCACCAGGAATCAAATGTAACTCTCCCAGTAAAACCCAGCATAGCTAAACAGTCTCACGCTGGTTTCCACAGGTATAACAGACAGTGAAAAGGCAGACAAGTTAATAGTTTATTGCTATTGTTTCTCCTAGCTTTATCCAAGGAGGGTGACCCGCCCTGTCAACAGAACGAGTGCCCAGCCTACCCCGCTGAAAGTTTAGCTACTTTTGGATGGGGAGCAGTGAATGTAGCTACAGAATAAGTGCTTCGATCTAACATTAACAACATAGAGCACTGCTCAAGGTCAATAATCAGATTTCTATAACTATTATGTTCTGTTTCTGACTTCAGGTCTGACTATATCGATAAACTGGAGCACCTAAAACTGGACATCCTATCATTTGTTAAGTCCAAATTGTCTATCCAACGGAGGAGGACAGAAATGCAACAAGTGTCTCTGTAAGAAACTTTCCACACAGTCTTTACAATATGAAACTGTCATATTAAGCAATCGAGGCAACTTACTGATATATGAAAGTAGGCCGAGCAGCTCTACTATCTGTTCCAAGAGAAAACCTGAAACACAAAAGAAGAAAACTGAGCATCACATGGAGAACACAAGAAAAGGCCACACAACGCTCAGCTTTAAATGTTTCCTCCAGTGCGAGCGTGCAGATGGTTAAAGAGGCAATAACGGCACAAGAGTGTGGGCAAAAAGACGTGCTGCAAAAACATGTTAAACATGTTTAAAACTCAAGCAACAAGACTGTGAGCCGCTCTGACTCATGTGAGGAAACAAATTCAAAGGGTTCAAGACGTTTTAGACTTCCTCATGAACGCCATTAGCAAACTAGCTGCCAGCAGATGCAGCCTAGTGAGACACAACCTTCATGTTCTCCCACTGACTTTTTATGCTTTACACATATTCACTCCAGTGTAAAGAGAAGATTAAAAGACAACACTACATTAGACACCAGACAACAAAGTAGCAATACAGCAACCTATAGCAACAGCTTCATATAACCTTTGACCTGAATATTTGACCTTGACCTTAGAGTTGGGGTAATGAAAAGATTATACAACACATTGTCTAGTGATGATGCATGTGTCAGAGCTCCCAGCAGTTCATGAAAACACAATTCCCCGAGTTTCCCTTGAGCAGATCCTGAAATTGCAGAAGATATTTCAGCCACACAAAACTCTCAGAACTCAGCGTCACAGAGTCACATTCAGAGATGACAGGAAGTGCTGTGTAGCACTGGGCACATGCGTACTGCAATCAGCCCATATAATTAATTATATTGTATGACATCTGGACCTGGACCTGGACCTGGACCTGATGACCTGGACTTTATGATGCTACAACACGAGCATTAATACATGCACACGTGAAAATCCTGTTTTAACTCAAACTTTATGCCTGGAAAGTGTGAAAGTCGTTTTCCAGGTGTTCCCTGATTTCCAGAGTCTCTGAGAAGCTTGTGTGTGTATCAAGGTTGGTTAAATTATCTTTATTATCTAGACGTAGTCTCCCACACTGGTTCATTTCACCTCCTTGGTCTGCTGCCTTCTTATATCTCCTCACACATGTCACGTCGTCAGTGCAGTTACAGCGTGCGCTCTCAGGACATCATTACCTGCAGCGTTCCCTCAGCGCAGACTGAGCTTGGATAAAAGGCCTTTTTCTACTCAGCTCCTGCACCTGGAACATCTTGGAACAGACGTTGTCTCCTTAATTTCTTTACGGGGTTTCAAACATTTGGTAAAGTCAGTAGAAAAATGAAAGCAGATATGTTCTTGATTTTAGTATCTCACCTGTTTTACAGCACCCTGATTCATTGTTTTATACAATACTCTTATTTTAACTGCATTTTTACTGTAGTTTATTGTTGTTGTTGTTTACTGTTGTTGTCTGTTCTTTCTGGAACAGGTCTCTCTTGAAAACGAGTCCTCGAGGCTCATTGAGACTAACGCGTATAAATAAAGGTTGAACAAAAAAGAAGTTATGGGCAGGACAAGAGACATTTTTACGGATGGACGGATGGACGGACACTACACCGTAATACTGCCCTCAATGTGCTTATAAATAATGTGGAGGTTTAGACCTCCAGTCATTTATAAAGATCATATTATGGGTCAGTTTGACCTGTAAAAACCCATTCTTTTATTTAGACAAAGCTGCAAAATAATATTTTCCTCATATGTCAAGTTACTGCAAAAGAGTAAAATCCGACTGAATAAAATGGAAAATCTTAACGTGCATCTCTAAAACAGCGTGCTGGTGTTGATAAGGTGATAAAACTACAGCGTCTGTGCACAGAGCAGTTAGACAAAACTGAGTTCACTTCATATATTATAAAGTAGGAAAATGTAAATAAATAGTTTTTCTGCTAATAAAAACAATAAAATATATGTCTAAATCTAAGGCTTTTGATTTTGGGTTACTATATGTTAAAATAAAATTCCATAAGAATTATACTTTGTGCTTTAAATCTGATTAAATACCAAAACGTAAATAATTTTTGTGAAACACGACAGTTCTTTAACAATACTTCATTTAATAATAATAATTTATTTTATGGGGACTTAATGTTAAAGCGTATCAAACTAACATGGGTCAATTTCTAATTGTTCATTTACACAACCAACAAAACACACACACACATTTTTGAGAGGATATGAAATATGCAGCTTCTGCTCAACCCTTCTTTTTATTTATCGTGTTAATAAACTGAAACTTTTGACAAATTGAACTCTAGATGACAGGAAGTGCTCGAGTTCTGGCGTTCCTCGTGAAACAGCAGCTTTAGCTCGGCTCTCTTCTCCCAAACTGACAGCAGGCTTTTACCATCTGCCACCAAGCCCCGGCCCGTGTCACATGTCATGGTCGCCGCCTGCGACAGCTTCTAGGTGGCTGCCTTCACTTAGCAGAGCCGCAGCCACACACACTGTAGGCGTGACGGCGCCTCACGACAGAAAACACACAGAAGGTCAGAGAGCCCAGTGCTCCAGGATTCTAAATTACCAAAAGTAAAAATGAGTCAATTTGCAGCTGCTGATAACAAAAACATTTACTGACTTTCTACAAATGCTGAAGAAATCGTGTAGATACAAGCAGGGGCGATTCTAGGAACTGATCTTTAGGGGGGCTTAGCCCCCAGCGCTGACAATGGCTCTGGGCTTGAACAACGCGCCCATGGTGCGGTTTGTGAGAAGTGCAAAACTTACAGCTCCTGGCATTAGACCAGGCGGTCTCCCATCCAAGTACTAACTGACTCTGCTCAGCTTCTGAGATCAGACGAGATCGGGCGTGTTCAGGGTGGTTTGGTCGTAAAGGTGGACCTCCGTCACAAACAGGACTTTTAAAGGATCAAAGCAAACAAAGACTAAACTTATACAACCAGAAGTTACAACAAATATCTAAACATGCAAAACAAAGAACAACTTTAAGCATTTACCTTTAATTCAACCATTAACCTGCGACTGCAAAGAGTTTGTAATGCAAAACTCCGACAACGTTGTCAGAGGAAAAGGGGGTGGAGCTCCTGCAGGTACGGGGCGTTTACCTTCAGAACAAATTGGGGTCTCTGATTGGTCAGTTGCTGATTAATGTACTGGATTGATTGACAGGTAGTGTTGAGGATATGACTTGTAAAAAAAAATCATAGATTTTACTGACCGTTTAAAAGTCTCATCATTTATTTCATATTTATTCAATATTTTTGTGAATCTAAGGTTTGGGAACTGTTCCCTTACAAAATCCTAATGGTGGTTTCTTCATTTTTCAGGGGAGCCGAGTTAAAAGTTAGGGAGGCTTGAGCACCCCAGAGGCTAAACTCCCCACTGGATACAAGAAGCCGAGAAAACCATTATAAAAATGAGGGGAAACAACGCGCCGTTGTCAAAGCAAGCAACATACCTGCAATTGTTTAAAAAATAAATAAATAAAAACCATTATTCTCATAATCAATTTTAGCATGAACCAGGAAATTAGTTTTGTGTTTGTAAAAATATTGCTTTCAATAACTCCTGAAGGACTTACACCACCCAAACTAAAACATGCTTAATTTCTCACCTTAATCATGTTTCCATCAGTTTTATTGTTATCTAAAACCAAAGTAATTAGTGTTTTTAGATTAGGATATAAATTTCTTTAGGACATTCTCAACCGTCAGGCGGTGTTTGAGGCATCAAACTGTGATGGTTTGTACAGATCTGAACCTCAATAGTTTTGAGGAAAAACACAAAACAATCATGTTAGAGGTAATTGAACTGACAGTGTCTCATCTAACTATTGATGTGGTTCAGTGTGCCCCCCCCACGTGCATTCAGCCCAAAGGCCGACACGGGTCCCACAAGCCCAGTTTACACTGCAGCACACTGCAGCATCCAAGACGTAACACTCAGCAGATCTGTCGTACAACCGAGGTGAAAACACTGAAAGTAAGGGGATACTAAGGAACTGAAAACTTCCCTTATAACAACAAAGTTCACGCTCAATTCCTTTATAACACTTTATTTCAACAAAAACTCATTCATATAGAACTTTCTCTGTTTGGTTTCTTCTTCAGTTCAGATAAGAAAAGTTTTTACTTAAAACTGCAGCTACTGATGCTTTTGATCATTCATGAACCTTTCACAATAAAGTGTTTTGTTTTTCTGGAGAGTAATATTTAACTGAAAAATAAACGTGCACAACTAGAATATAAACTGGGTGGCCTCAGAAACTGATACTCATCCCCAGTCAGCCTTAGAGCAAAATATGAAAATGAAATCTGTCCACAAATGAAAGTCAGCCGTAGTAAGACAGAGTCCATGTGTGTGAATGAGACGGTGCAGGACTTCAAGGTCTTGGGGTCCACTGTCCAGGAACATGGGGAGTGTGGTGAAGAAGAGAGTCCAGGCAGGATGGAGTGATGGAGAAAAGTTTCAGGAGTGATTTGAGACAAAAGGGTGTCAGCAAAGATCAAAGGAAAAGTTTACAAGACAGTGGTGAGACCAGCTATGTTGTATGGCCTGGAGACAGAGACATGGACAAAAAGACAGGAGACAGAGACATGGACAAAAAGACAGGAGACAGAACTGGAAGTGTCAGAAATGAAGATGTTGAGGTTCTCCTTAGGAGAGACAAGGATGGAGAAGATCAGGAATGAGATCATCAGAGATACAGCACAGGTTGAACAACTGGGAGATAAAGTTAGAGAGGACACACTGAGATGGTTTGGACATGTCCAGAGGAGGGACAGTGGTTTGGACATGTCCAGAGGAGGGACAGTGGTTTGGTCATGTCCAGAGGAGGGACAGTGGTTTGGTCATGTCCAGAGGAGGGACAGTGGTTTGGACATGTCCAGAGGAGGGACAGTGGTTTGGACAAGTCCAGAGGAGGGACAGTGGTTTGGACATGTCCAGAGGAGGGACAGTGGTTTGGACATGTCCAGAGGAGGGACAGTGGTTTGGACATGTCCAGAGGAGGGACAGTGGGTATATTGGTAGAAGGATGTTAGAAATGCAGCCGCAGGAAAAAGACAAAGAGGAGACATATGGATGCAGTTAGAGAGGACATGGAGGTAGATGGA